ACATTGGGTAAGGGCAAACCCGTTATATATAATTCACTTACATGTAGGTCTACATGTAGCAACACGTACATGTATCCTTTTTTTCCCGTGGATAAGATGGCACATATTACCGTGAAAGTGCTTATTCCATTAACCATCTTTTCAATGGGACCTTGGTGAAGTCTCTTATGTTTACATAGGCTACATGTATATGTATATCTTGCAATACATACATGTAACTGATGCGTAACCTACGGTATTTCCAGTTTAATATACCCCCAAATGGATGAATGTTCATTCAATTCAAAGTTTCTGTGAGTGAAATGAATATGAGCATACACGTAAGTGTCCAAGGTTGATTTACATGTATTTCACCTAATGCTAGCAGCAATATTATTGTTGTGTATGGAAACCAGACAACGTACAATTGTTACACTTCAGCATTGTACTGGTATGCGGTGGCAACAAGAAATACATTATACATGTACATGCAGAGGTACATTGTACGTATTCAATTCTTTTGAACTGAAAGTGTGAAACATGCTACTGCTTGTTTGTAATACATGTGTGCAGATTTCTTGGTGATAAAAGCCATGTATATATCTTCTCCTGTTGATTTCAGGGCATCGTGCTGTCTATGTTGGGGTTCATATGCCCCTTAAGCCCAGACATCACCACAGACATCACAGGCATAAACATCATAAACATAAGAAGAATGGCTTAGATGAATCGGATTCCAATCAAGACATCGGCCCGTCATCTGAGACACCATTGCTGAAAGAAGAAAAGCAAGGTACCATAAGTGTAATATTGTTAGACGGGGCCTACATGTACATTTGTAGTTCAAATGGTTATATCACAACAAACAATACTAAATTGAATCGTATCAGCAGTGATTTTCTAGAAGCTCTGAGTCTAAAAGCCCCCTCAGGATAAAGCAGTCTGTATGTTGTGTGCTACGTGTTATTTTCAAATGTCACACGGGCCCACATGGAATTACTTCATGCAAAGACATTCTAATACATTGCTCAAGAGCCTACACATGAGACTATATGAAATCCACATGGGCAACATTTGGCATTTATCAAACTGGCACAGATGAATAGTTTTGTTTCAACACATTGAAACCAACAATCTTCATCAAAGTGAAATGCTTGCGGGAGCACGACCCAAAAACCCTTTGCATTTATGCATAGACTCTACAAGTTCCCAGGATTTATTGATTCTCGACTGTGCCGATGCATGCCCACTAATCTGGTCATAGAGATAGTACAGCCATTGTTTTATGGGCATAGTCCTTTTTAAACCTCATCCGTAGATTCTGTCTTGATTGGCCAAGAGACAGAATGGTATTGCCTATTTGACCATTTCTTGTCATTCAAAGCAGTACCTTACAAAGCTTTTACATAACAGGAGCTGTGCCTCATTTTGAAACACGCACGCATTAAACCATTAACAACCACTGTTCTATACATCAGTGTATTAGTTCATACCTACATGTACATGTACATGTACTACATGTGCACTGTTTGAGACCTTTAGCTTCATTTCAAATTGAAACACCTGTAGATGTCCATTTGTACACTGAACGTTATGAAATTGTTTTTGAGCATTATGTACATGTATTTGTTATGCATGTACCTTTTGAACACCCCCAAATGGGATGTTTAAGATATGTTTTTATTTATTTGAAAAAGGAAGCAATATAGATATACATGTATTGAGTATGAGTCTGAGTGGCATTTTTGCACAGCCAATGCCCTTGTTTGGAGTTCAAAGTCATCTTTGGTTGAAGATGTTGAATACAAAGATTATGAACCATTCACAGAGCAACCACCTCAGCAGAGAGTGAAGTTCATTCTCGGTGATGAAGGCGATGAGGAACATGTATCTCATGAAGTCTTCACAGAATTGGAGGAGCTGACTGTAGGTGGTGATGGAGAAGAGTCATGGAAAGAGATGGCAAGGTAAAAGAATATGTAGGCCAGCATAGGCCTCGGGTATCACAAGGTGTCTTGTGCATAATGTGGACCCATGAACCACATGCTTCATGTCATTATTAATAAGCATGAGAAATTTGGTTTGTACATCAAAATTGATCAAAATAGATAATATTGTAACTTGCTCATGTACATGCATGCCTAGCTGGTTATTTGTTAATCTTTTTAAAATTTGAATCTTCAATTTTGGACGTTGGTTGGAGGGAGAGGAGACCCGTTATTTCATGCATTGATAGGAAGATGTGCATGATCATGAATACTTTTGTGCATGTGGAACAAACGGTGAATGGTGTATGTTGCCGCTATTGGTGGTTTGTGAGAATTGGAGCTTGTAGCCAGTAGCTTGAATGTTTCAGTTAACTGAAAAATAGACACACTGAAACTAACATTTAGATGCCATCATTACATTCCACAAACAACCAGATTGGTAAAGAAATATAGTAACTGGTTGTTTTTTTTTCTCTTTTTTCTCCCTTTTTTCGTAAGCATAATGTGAGAGTAAGCTAATGTAAGAGTAACACTAATGGGCCCATTTAAGATTCACAGTACATGTACCTGTATGTGACCAATGTTGATGTGTCTGTCTTCAGATGGATCAAGTATGAGGAAGATGTGGATGTTGGAGCAGATAGATGGAGTAAACCTCACATTGCCACACTACCTCTACATAGTCTGTTTGAACTCAGGAGTTGTCTGATGACAGGCACCGTGTGCTTAGACATGGAAGCAGAAGATCTCTTACAGATTGCAGGTAAGGACTTGCAGTGAATAGAATGTGCCATGGTGAAATGCAGCAGTTTTTTAATGTACCGTAAGTTATTTTGTGAGCAAAATTAGACATTGCTGACACATCAGGCTTGTGCATGTATCATGCACGTTCGTAATTATTAGGCTCGTGTGCATGAAAGCATGGCACAGTACCACATTGGCGACACATTATGAATGAATTGTCTGATTAATCTCTACCCGAATCTAGGCTTGTTATCACTGCACAGTCTCTGGACACTTGAGTCCCCCAGTCATGCAGTATATATACACCGATAACTGTTACAGCAAAATGGAAAGTGAACACACCATTAGCAGAAAGTGCATTGATTGAGTGTATGTCAGTTCTGGCACCTGCATTAGTTTATGTGTTGTTTGTCCCTTACACTGTCAAGCTGACTTCTGTACCTTTTTACAGTTTAAGTGTGTGTAGTCTATGCAGTAGCAAGCCATTTCTAAATTACAAAAGCATATTTGATGAGTTAAAAACATGATGGCACATTGGCAGTGCTAGGTTTGCACGCGTGTTTAATTCACTGCAAGCAAGACGCACCTGACATGCCGCACCTTTATTACATTAATTCAAGCTCCATGCGACCCAAAGGTGTGGGTTCATAGTGTGGTGCTAGCAGAATGCTGATGACTGATGTTGGATTGATAAGGGTAGTATATCCTTTTAGTTTCAGAAATGTTATTGCCCATTGACATTAGAGCATTTCACTTTCAAATCTTCCAAAATCTAACACTATGCTAAAATCTAATAATGCGGTCTTTATGTAATTTTCAAAGGACATGGAAGATTCACTTGCACTTTTTGTGCAAATTTCTACTCCTTTGTGTAAAAAAATCTGATACCCTTTGTGGGTAAAGCATATTGAACACTTTTTGAAGTTAAAATTGTCCATGCGATTCCTGAAAACAGAGAGCACTGTTGCCGTGACATCATTCAGGGAAGGCGCTGATCAGTTTAAAGGTTTTTCTGTTCACACTGTGAACCCAAAACATGCTCCCTGAAAAGACGTCTCACAAAAGCTTATTCATTGGCTTTTTGTCATGTATTTGCATGTACGAAACAATGAATCATCCATTAAAAAATGCATCATGTAAATACATGTAGTTCCAGCAATTTTTTTGTTCACAGATCAGTACAATATTGAATTTTCTCCAGAGAATGGCCTCGCAGTTTAAATAAATGTAGAAATTTGCATCAGCATAATGCCAAAAGTGCACCAAAAAGCATTTGGAAATAGCCAAACAAAATTTTAGAATAAGGTTCATTGAAACATAATGATTCCTTGTCAAGGGTTGCATGAACCCTTTAATCCCAGTGTATATTTTTAGTGACTTGGTTGTACATTATGTACGTCAGGTGGATCGTGAAGAATGGGGGAAGGATACATGTAGATTTAGAAAACTGTCATACATGTAAGTAAACACAATTTAAAGGAGTACATATCCTTCTGGCAGCTTCCCTAATGAGTATAAGTCAATAATTGGCCGAAGTGATGCGGTTCAGCCAACAATTGTGAAGTGATCATCCACGCGAATGTGCATGAGTTCATCCTCATCTAAACGCATCACATTGCGCTTGGTTGGGTAGAAGATAAAGGTCATGATTCAGGGTGCTCAGACTCGACCAAGTTCCTTTCCTGGCTGTAGGTCTTGCGTTCTAACATGGTCTGGTACGGTCGGTACTCACCTGCCATGATCATTGATCAATAAACCCCAGTGGATTCTTAAAATTGATAACACAGCTCTATTCAGCAAACAAATAACCTGCGTTATGCTTGCACTTTAAAATTGCCGTCAAATATTTCCATCTGGTTTCCATTTTTGTTTTCACATTTGTACTTGCACCTTGAATCCTTCAAAATTCTTGCTTCAGTGGTGTTCTGATGGATTAGAATATTTCTGTAGTTATTGCATATTGTCTGATTTGTGTTCAGGAAGGTTTCCACCTGAAGCATACTGTAAATGCCTCCAGGGATTGGTTAATATTACACGACATTTTGGAAAAGAGGATTCTTCACTGCTCCATATCATGGTTGGGTGACACTGCTGTGATATCATTTCATTGTGAATTATACTGCCCCGTACACTTTCTGTCCTTGCACTGACTACAGTACAGAACTACATTTATGTCGATATTTGTAATTCCACAACAGTATGGAATTCTATGATAATGCCTATCTTTCTTCTGTTG